GGGCCGGATTACCTCGGGGTATACCTCGTACATTCGAGCCTAACACCAGTGAGACTGTTGTCGGGGGATGGAACCGCTCGTCGGCAAGACGGATGTCTTTGAATTGGGCGCGCATGTCGTCACTGAGTGCGCGGATCGGGATGCGCAGGCTGGGGGACGGATGCCCCGACAGACTCGGCAGCGGTAGGACTGAGTACCTCGAGAACGTCTGTCGTCCAAAGTTTGGGCGCGGTGAGGACGTGGAGCCGTGGTTTTGATGCTTTAATAATACAGAAAGAAAAGGAAAATTATAAGCGAACTTAGTCTGCGTTATAAACGGATTTTAAAGCATCAGGAAGGAAGGCGTTATTGCGGAGTTTTAGCGGTTGCGTTAGCTTTCATTGGAAGGAGAACCAGTTTGTGGATCGGACGTTGAACTGTTCCGCGAGACGTAAGGATGTCCACGACGCGGACTCTAGCATCAGCTCCTGGTATAGCAGCTACTATTCTGCCGAGCCGCCAGTCGTTTGATGGCAAGTTATCGTCCCTGATAACGACCATATCGTCCACTTCTGGATGGACTTAGCCACTTGTTGCGCTTGTGGAGTTCCTTTAGATACTCTTTCCATCGCGAACTAAATTGTTGATGCTGGGCCTTGAGATGTTGCCATCGATTTATAATCGTCTTTCAGGCTCCTCCGTGGAAAGCAACGGATCCCCGATCAGAAAATGGCCTGGCGTCAGTGCCAACAAGTCGGTTGGGTCTTCAGACATTGGAAAAAGTGGTTTGGAATTAAGGCAGGCTTCAATCTTAGCAAAAAGCGCGGAAAGCTTTTCGAAGGTATACTTGCGAGCGGACGTGGATTTGTAAAACAGAGTTTTAAAACTCCTTACTCCTGCCTCCCACAGGCCTCCTATATGAGGAGCTCCTGGGGGTATGAAACGCCACACGAGTCCCTGGTGGCTATACGCTGCAGTCACCGACCCCTTTAGTGCTTGCGTAAAGTCACAGGAAAGAAGACTTGAGGCACCAACAAAGGTTTTGCCGTTGTCGGGATGGACCCGCTGAGGACAACCTCTTCTAGCAACAAAACGAGCAAACGTTGCTAGATACTTTTCAGTTGTAAGATCGGAGGTGGCTTCCAAATGGATGGCCTTCGTAGAAAAGAACACAAACATATCACTTAGTGATGAGACTGTGTAGTTTTTCACTTCAAAAGGGCCGGCGTAATCGACTCCGGTGTAAGTAAATGGCCTGGAAAAGGAGGCTCGATCAGTCGGAAAACCGCCCATCAATTGGGTTTGCAGTCGTTTTTTATAAATGGGGCACACGTTGCATGAATTTATCACGCCCTTTACCAGATTTTTGACTTTAGGAATCCAATATTTGGATCGTATCAAGGGCACTGTCAGTTGGTTGCCGCCATGGAGCGTAGTCTGGTGCGTGAATTGGACAAGAAGGCGAGATAGCCGATGGCGCTCGTCATAGTGCAGGACCTTGGAGGTAGCTAAGCGACCACATGCTCTTAAGAGTCCTTGTTGGTCTATAAATGAAAATAAATTAGCAATTTGGCTTGACGAGGATATGGAACTTTCACTTCGCAACAATCGAAGCTCGAGCGCGTACTCTTCGCGATGGGCAAGTATTATGTAGGTCCTCTCAGCCCCCGGATTTCCCGATTACTGAGCTGCTTATCCGGACTTACCGGAGCCTTACGACAGCGATTTAGGAACCTTTGGACGTAAGCTACGACTCGTAAGGCCTTGTCCAGTCTGGAGAAACGTTCAAGGAAATCATCACCGGGGAGCTGTACGAAATGAACCTTCACCGCGCGCTGCTCTAAGTCCGTGACTGGGTGTGGATCCGAAGTTTCTGGCCATTGAAGTTTCGGCAGTTGTAGCCATTGGGGGCCATGCCACCAGAGGGTGCTATCGCCCAACTCTTGCAGGGACACGCCGCGACTAGCTAGGTCTGAGTTATGTTCTGACCGCACATGGGACCAATTCTCAATCTTTGTAGCTTGAGCCATTTTGGTTACGCGGTTGGCTACGAATGTGGTCCAGGAGCAGGCCGGTTTTTTTAACCATGCCAGGAAAACGGTGGAGTCTGTCCAGCAGAAAATCTCAGAGCTGTCTGACAGCATATTTGGAAGGACCATCCTGCCAGCAATCGGGGGAGGGGTACCGTTTTCACCGGGGCAACCCGGGTCTTTGCCGTAAGCAAATTAGTCAATATCTGCTGACCGACTTCAACCATGACATACAGCGCAGCCCCATAGGCCTTTTGGGAAGCGTCACAGAAACCGTGAAGATCAATTTTTACATGGTGCTGGTAGCTGATCCATCTCGGAATACGGATTTGATCGAGATCGGAATAACTTTGCAGGAACACTTGCCATCTATGGCTCATTTCGTCGGGAAGATTGTCATCTCTTGCAGCCAGATCTCCTGCATACGTTAAACGGGGCAAGCCAGCCAGCGGGATCGAATAGCTTTATGATCTGGGAGAGGACTTTCTTTTTCGTATAGGAGGACTTGACGGATATCTCTGGGGGCACGAAGTAGAACTCGTCGGTGGTTGCTCTCCAGCGAATACCAAGAGTTTTGGCGGTGATTTCGGCATCAATATTCAGGAACTCAACATTGAGAAGAAGATCGTTTGGATTGTCCTTTAAAACCCCCTTGTGGTTGGAGGTCCACATCCTAAGCGGAAAGCCGGCAGAATTCAAAGCGGTTACTAACTCATGGATGGCAAGGATGCTAAAACGTCATCCACATACATAAAATTACGGACTATGTGGCTGGCTTTTGGAAACTGCTGATCGACGTCATCAGCCAGCTGTTGCAGCACTCGGATGGCGAGATAGGCCGCGCAATTGTCACCGAACGTTACGGTTTTCAGCTCGTAAACTCGAATGTCACCTTCCTTGTTTCTGAATAGAATCCTTTGAAACGGCGTGTGCTTTGGATTGACCCAGATCTGCCTATACATTTTCGTGATGTCCGCACTAAAGACATACTTGAAATAGTGCCACTTTAAAATCTGAATCGTTGCTGAAGGGCTGGAAGCGTTGAATATCACCCGTAGTTTCGTGGTGGTGCTTTCGGGTTTTATCACCGCATGATGTGGGAGGTAGTAGTTCGGAGAATTGTGAGTGGGCGAAACCTATTTTATATTTCCTAAATCCAAATATTCTTGGATTACGGAGTTGTACTGCTCATTTAATGAAGTGTCTCTTCGTAAACGATTTTCGTTTCTGAGAAACTGAGCAAGTGCTATAGACCTTGTCTTTGTAACTTGAGTCGTAAAGGCTGAAACCGGTTGCTTGTGGACCTGGACACTGGACCAGTGAGCACCCCACCTGAAGATAGTCTCTTGCTCAAAAAGGAGAGTGTGCGCAGATGTTGGTCTTTGTTGCCGCTCAGCAGCACGGATGGAAAAAATATCAGCTCCGATAAGGACTTCTATCTGGGAACTCTGCAGAAATTTGGGATCTGCCCATTGAAGGTTTGGCAAATCTCCTCAGGACATCTTGTGGAATGGAATGTAAGGGTAATCTTGCCTGGGATGGTTCACCGGATACCAGCAGTTCGTTCCAACATTTAGTTTGATGTCAGGCGTGGTTGCTAGAAAAGAAGGTTCCACCCAGAGTAAGGACGCAGCAGGTTCGGTTAAGTTAGATTATATCTCAGTTGTTTATTTCATTTCTAGGGTTACAGAGTTATTTTACAAGGTTTCGGCGGGTCGTCGCCGGGCGGTCTGCGGGGCCAGGATGCTCCGTAGGGTGCCGAGGGGGAGGCCGTTTGGGAACCGGGCCTGACCGTCTGGGCGATCCGCTAGCTAAAGAAAGAAGAGACAAAAATGGAAACGAAAGAATGGGTGACGGCCCGAGGGCCGGTTACGCGAGCGAGTGTGAATGTGATGAGGAAAAGATTATGGAATCGGTATGATAAAAGAATGACTAGAAACCCAGTGGGTCTCGGGTGAGAGATGACACGAGGCCCTTGGGTCCGACGTGGTGATGCAAAGCCCCGGTAGGGCTGTTGCTAGAGATGATGCAGGCCCTTGGGGTCCGTCGTAAGACTGCAAAGTCCCTGTGGGACTCTTGCGAGAGATGACGCGAGGCCCTTGAGGTCCGACGCGTAAGAGATGACAAAATCCCTGTGGGACTCCTGCGAGAGATGACGCGAGGCCCTGAAGGTCCGACGCGTAAGAGACGCAAAGTCCCTGTGGGACTCTTACGAGAGATGACGCGAGGCCTTTGAGGTCCGACGCGTAAGAGATGCCAAAATCCCTGTGGGACTCTTGCGAGAGATGACGCGAGGCCCTGAAGGTCCGACGCGTAAGAGACGCAAAGCCGGGTAAGGCTGTTGCGACAGTGCCTGGCAGTGATCCCGTGGATCTGCTGCGGCAAGCATCGGCGAATGGCCGATGGCAGTGCTCCCTCGATATGACCGAGGTCGAATTTATTAGATTTAGCCTGAGGCTAAATCTGACCCAAAAAAAGTGACTAGTGCTGGTGAGGGTGCCCAACTGCGGGAGAGGGCTGATCTTACCTGGGTGAGATCCACCGCACAAGTGACTCTTCCCAGAAACTGGTCCTCCTTATATAACCGGTGGGTGCCGCCAGTGTGCCCGTTCCCGAAAATCCCTTTCTGTAGTGTGACCGTTCGGCCCGGTGGTGTGACCGATCGTGGTTCACTAAGGCGCGCCCGCGCATTCAAATTCAAATCTTATTTATTTAATAACTCAACAGCGACTATTTCAGTGTCTTTTCTCTCCTTATAACTATGAACAAATTATCCTAAATATTTCATTATTTGACTCTCCTTACAACTATAACAAATTATCCTAAATACTTCATTATTTGACTCTCCTTACAACTATGACAAATTATCCTAAATACTTCATTATTTGGCTTCATGGCTATTCCTAATTTTATATCTTATCCTCTTTTTTATGCGCCCCGGGCGTCATACTACCCCCCCGTTTTTATGGGCGGCTGGCGTGTGGGGCCGGATCATGATGCGGCGGCCTCGCCCGAAGATGACCTGGAGGGTGACTTCCCATTGGGCACCAGGACGCTGCGGTGCTGTCCAAACCGCAACCCGGCCCAACGCTCCCGGATGTGGGCCTGGGTGGTTGGGAGCAGGTGGACTCCCGCCTGGATCTGCCACTCGACGCCGCTCATATCGTCCCCACGTCGCTGCCCTCCTGTGGTGTCCTGTCGACGGGCCTCCTCCGGCTGCCTTCGGTTCGCCTGCCGGATAGTGACTCTTCGGCCTCTGCCGAAGAGCATATTCCACGTTCGTGCCCCTTCCGGCACCAGCAGGCTCTGTTGTTTGCCCCTGGGCTTCCTCCTCCAATATATAGCGAGACATTCTTTTTCGGTGGCACTGTAGTTCCGCTCCGCTTGGTTCAACCTCCTGCTCACATATGCTATCACTCGTTCCCCTTCTGGGTTCTCCTGCGTCAGCACTGCCCCTATCCCGAAGTCGCTGGCGTCTGTTTGTAACACGAACTGCCTAGTGAAATCGGGACATGCTAACACCGGTGCCCGTGTTAAGCTGGTCTTTATTTGATCAAATGCTGCCTGATGTCGAGGTTGCCAGTCGAACTTTCTCCCTTTCCGTATTAGTTCTTGGAGTGGGTCTGCCTGTTCCGAGAACCCCGGTATAAATTTCCTGTACCATGACGCCATTCCCAAAAAGCTGTGGACTTCCTTGGTTGTGCCTGGCGTTGGTAGTTCCCTTATGGCTGCCACTTTATCCGGGTCTGTCTGTATTTCTTGATCGGTTACGATATGTCCCAGATACCTTAGCTCTTTTTGAAAGAAATGGCATTTTTCCGCGTTGATTTTTAGGTTCGCTTGGAGCCGCCTAAACACCTCCTGTAGCTTCTCCAGGTGCTCCCGCTTATTCCTTCCAATTACCACGATGTCATCCAGATATGCGAATGCAAACGGCTCCATTTCTGGCCCTATGATGGTATCCAGGGCTCTTTGGAACGTTGCCGGTGCCGTGGTGAGACCAAATGGCATCACCTTCCATTGGAACAGCCCTCGTCCTGGTACCGTAAATGCAGTGTACTGCTTACTATCCTCGTCCATTGGTATTTGCCAATACCCTGCCTTCAGGTCGATTGTGCTAATGAACTTGGCCTCCCGGAGTTGGTTTAATATGAAATCCATCCTTGGTACCGGGTATGCGTCTTTCTCCGTTTTCTCGTTTAGTAACCTGTAGTCCACACACATTCTCCATTCGTTGTTTTTCTTCCGTACCAAGACTACCGGCGCGCTGTATGAGCTTCGTGAGGGTTCTATCAGCCCCTGGTCCAATAGTTCGTCTACCTGTTCGTTTATAATGGCTTGCTGTTTTGGGTTGCGCGGGTAATAGCGTTGTTTCACTGGTCTTTCGTCCTTCATGTATATTGTGTGTGTTGCGATCGTACTGCATCCCTTCATCCTTTCAAACACCATCATTTGTTCCTCCAGGAATGTCCGGATCTCCTCCTCGGATGGCTCCGTTTTTATTCCTGCTTCCTCCCGCTGTTTCCGTTTTTGTTCCTCCTGAGGCTCTCTGATGGTTATTTCCTGATGGTCGCATCGTATTATCGTTCCTACTTTTGCCAAGAAGTCCATCCCCAGCAGCATTCCTCCTGTCACTTGGTCCAGGATCAAGAAACTTAGCTTGAATCGCTTGCTCCCGAACTGGACGAGCGTGGCGAAACTCCCCATTACCTTTTGTCTTGCTCCGTTTGCCAGGGTTATTTCCTCCCTTTCCTCGTTCCATCTACCCTGCTTCCTTAGGCTTCGATAACTTCCCTGGTCGATCACGCTTCTTGATGCCCCGGTGTCCACTATTCCCTTCGCCCTTTTCGTTCCGATCCTTACCTCTGCCGTTGCCTGGAATCCATCGTAGCTTATCCCTCCTCTTCCTGCCGGTCCTAGTGCTCGGTCCTGTACTGCCAGAGTCGCCTGCTCCAGCCTCCTGTTGACGTCCGGCCGGGCTCTACAACATTCGGTTGTCCTCCGCTCGTTTCTCCCGCACACCCAGCAGAATAACCTTGGAGGGTTGCCGCACGCCCTTGTGGCGTGTCCTGTTCCTCCACACCTCATACAGATCTCCGGCCTTAGTCCGTGGCTCCTTGTCTCTGCCGGGTGACCCTGATTTTCCGTCGCCTCGATTTCCTCCACCTCCTCTGCTAGTGTTAGGAACTCTGTCAGTGATGCAAAACCTGATCTTTGTGCATAAAGCTTTATTTTGCTCCGACAGTTCTTGTATATCCTATCCAGTTTTTCTTTTTCTGAGTAACTGGTGAACCTCATCAGCTTCCTCAGCTCCATTGCATATGCCCGAGTGGGTTCCCCTTCTTTCTGCCGGAGTTGTCCGATTTTTAAATCCAGTTGCTCCTGGTACCTTGGTGGTAGGAAGTACTCTAGGAGTTCCCCTCTCAATTCTTCCCATGTTCTTACCCGACTTGGCGTCGTATTCCACCAGTCTTCTGCGGCGCCTTCCAAGATAAAAGGCATCGTTTGTACCAATTCATCCTTGTCTATGCCATATCCTGTGGCCCATTCTTCCATCTTGCCTAGGAACTCCAGTGGGTTGGATGTGCCCTGGTATCGTATTCCCCAACTTCTTACTCTGTCCAGAGATTCCACTTTCCTCCTGTCTCCCATGCTCTGAGTCTCCTCTTTCGTGGCTGTCCTTTTGCTGTCCGGCTCGACCTGGGCCCCTCCACCCGGTATTTCCATCTTCTTGTACTTGCTTGATACCTCCATTAATCTTGTCCTGATCTCCTCTGTGTGCTCCGTGCTCTTCGTGTATGTTGACAGTCTTTGTCTTAGCTCCCTTGATCCTCCGCTTGGGTCTACGCCGAATTCACTCGCGTATTCTACCAGCTCTGCTTTTGTAGCCTGGTATACCCAGCTCGACATTACTCTCTTAGTGTCCTTTTTCCTGCAACCACTTCAACCTGTTCGGGCGCCATGTAACGGTCCTGCTTCGGGGTGCCTGGGACGGTTCACCGGATACCAGCAGTTCGTTCCAACATTTAGTTTGATGTCAGGCGTGGTTGCTAGAAAAGAAGGTTCCACCCAGAGTAAGGACGCAGCAGGTTCGGTTAAGTTAGATTATATCTCAGTTGTTTATTTCATTTCTAGGGTTACAGAGTTATTTTACAAGGTTTCGGCGGGTCGTCGCCGGGCGGTCTGCGGGGCCAGGAGGGAGAGCTTCCGAGGGAGGGTAGTCGGGTGTCCGATGCTCCGTAGGGTGCCGAGGGGGAGGCCGTTTGGGAACCGGGCCTGACCGTCTGGGCGATCCGCTAGCTAAAGAAAGAAGAGACAAAAATGGAAACGAAAGAATGGGTGACGGCCCGAGGGCCGGTTACGCGAGCGAGTGTGAATGTGATGAGGAAAAGATTATGGAATCGGTATGATAAAAGAATGACTAGAAACCCAGTGGGTCTCGGGTGAGAGATGACACGAGGCCCTTTGGGTCCGACGTGTGAGTGATGCAAAGCCCCGGTAGGGCTGTTGCTAGAGATGATGCGAGGCCCTTGGGGTCCGTCGCGTAAGAACTGCAAAGTCCCTGTGGGACTCTTGCGAGAGATGACGCGAGGCCCTTGAGGTCCGACGCGTAAGAGATGCAAAGTCCCTGTGGGACTCTTACGAGAGATGACGCGAGGCCTTTGAGGTCCGACGCGTAAGAGATGCAAAATCCCTGTGGGACTCTTGCGAGAGATGACGCGAGGCCCTGAAGGTCCGACGCGTAAGAGACGCAAAATCCCTGTGGGACTCTTGCGAGAGATGACGCGAGGCCCTGAAGGTCCGACGCGTAAGAGGACGCAAAGAGATGAAAGTCCTGGGGACTCTTACGAGAGATGACGCGAGGCCCTGAAGGTCCGCTCGCGAGATACGCGAGGCCCTGAAGGTCCGACGCGTAAGAGACGCAAATTGCCGGGTAAGGCTGTTGACGAGGGGACAGTGCCTGGCAGTGACCCGTGATTCCGGCAAGCATCGGCGAATGGCCATGCAGTCTCGATATGACCGAGGTCTTTATGATTTGCTGAGGCTAAATCGACCCAAAAAGTACTAGTGCTGGTGAGGGTGCCAACTCGGGAGAGGCTGATCTTACCGGGAGATCCACCGCAAAGTGACTCTTCCCAGAAACTGGTCTCCTTATATACCCGGTGGGTGCCGCCAGTGTGCCCGTTCCGAAAATCCCTTTCAGTGTGACCGTTCGGCCCGGTGGTGTGACCATCTGTTCACTAAGGCGCCCGCATTCAAATTCAAATCTTATTTATTTAATAACTCAACAGCGACTATTTCAGTGTCTTTTCTCTCCTTATAATATGAACAAATTATCAAATACTTCATTATTTGACTCTCTTACAACTATAACAAATTATCCTAAATACTTCATTATTTGACTCTCCTTACAACTATACAAATTATCCTAAATACTTCATTATTTGGCTTCATGGCTATTCCTAATTTTATATCTTATCCTCTTTTTTATGCGCCCCGGGCGTCATAAGCATTGTGCCTGAACCGCAACGCATAGGCCGTGACTCGTACAGCCCGGCTAAAAGTAGAAAATCTGCCAACGAACGACGGAAGCGGGACTGCGTGGTGAACTCGTACTTTGGCCGCTTTTGCCTCTAGTGCGGCATCGTTGGTGTCGACCAGCTCGAACTCCATAGAAGGCCAGTCACTCGGACTGCGTGTAAGCCACTCAGGGCCTCGCCACCATAGGCCCGGAGACATTCCTCTTTTCGCACAGTCCGCTGGATTCTCAGCCGAAGAATGATCCAGAATGGACCCTGTTGGCCACGAACGTCTTCCACCTAGCGAGGTCCCCGTACAGCCAGTGTAAAAGGATTGTGGCATCCGTCCAGTAGAACGATTCGATGGGTAGGTCGCTTAGCCATTTAGCCGAAGTAAGCCATTTTACCAACTTGACGGCCAAAACTGCGCCACTCAGCTCCGTTCTAGGTATAGTCAAGGGCCTTGTGGGAGTCACCCTTGACTTCGAGGCCAACAGTGAGCTATAGCATGCTCCGTCCTCGCACTCGAGCCTTAGGTAGACCGAGGCCGCATAACCTGTCGATGAACCGTCGCAGAACGCGTGAAGCTGAGCTAACACTATACATCCAGGGGAATAATAAATCCATCGGTCTATGCTTATGTCGTCGATCCTCGTCAACCCGTCCCGAAACGTTTGCCACCGTTCTACGAGGGCGTCCGGAACCTCGTCGTCCCACTCCAGCGCCGACTGACTTTCTTTCTTTGCCATGGTTACCTCCTTTAAAATCAACTTTCCCACGATGATGACTGGTGCGATGAGACCCAGTGGATCAAACAGCCCAGCTATGCTCGATAGAATCATCCGTTTGGTAAACCTAGCTGGAATCTCAAAATTGACTTGAAATTTAAAACAGTCCTTTTTCGGGAGTCAATACATCCCTAATGCCTTGATAGGATCCGTAGCGTCCCAGTTTAAAGGAGTCCGGCTGCACTGATGCTCCGCAGGAATCGAGAGCAAGAGACTGGACTCGTTGCTGGACCATTTTCGCAACTCCATGCACGCGGATTTTATCGCCCCCGATACTTGTGTCCGCTTATCCTTTGCCTCCTCCAACGTGTGACCTCTGGAAAGAATGTCATCCACATATATTTCGCTCATCAACACCTCTTCCACCTTGGGAAACGAACGGCGCTCGTCCTTCGCCAACTGCTGGATGACCCTGATGGCCGTGAATGGTGCAGACGCCGTACCAAAGGTTAACGTTGACAACGCGAAAACGCTGATGGTCCCATCCGCCGCCCGCCATAAAATCCACTGGTATTGGGCGTCTTCCGGATGAACATCTATACAACGATACATCTTCTGGATATCCGCTGCAAAAACGAAACGATATTTCTGCCAATTCAGTATGACATGTCGTTCTGAAGGGCTGGCCCAGTCCACAACACGTCGTTTAGGGATCTTCCGTTGCTAGTCCTTGCGGAGGCGTCGAATACGATTCTTTGCTTAAGGGACTGCGGCTCCTTCTTAAAGACCGCATGATGCGGCAGCACGCAGGAAGCCACATGCCTACCCGTAGAAGTACGCATCAGAAAACTGCTTTCACTGCCCACCGCCGGCGCTATCTGCTTGAGGGCAAAGTACTCCTCGATCTCCTCGACATATTTACTCCACCGCTCCGGACTGCTGGACAGACGCCGTTCCAACTGAAAGAACCTATTCAGCGCCATGTGATGCGATCTTCCCAGAACCATAGTTGGATCCATGTAAGTTTTGAACGGCAACTGTACCACGTAACGGCCATCAGATCGCCGAATATGTGTCTTCTGAAAGAAGGCTTCGCACCAGAGGTTCCCCTCCGATGTGAGAGAACGGTCCGGAACGGCCTCCACCTCGCAGAAACGCTTGAGCAAAGCCTCGGTGTCCAAGAGCACCCGATGACACTGAACCTGGGCGCTTCTCGCACTCCGTCCGCTAAACCAGATAGGAGCCACCCAAGGTGAGTGTTCTGGGCTATAGGCACGCCGGGCAGCCCGATCCTGGTGTCCGGCAACATGATTTGCGCCAACAGGTCCACACCCAAGATGAGGTCGACTCGCTTCGATCGTGAGAAGTTCGGATCCGCCAGCGGTAGCCCTCGTATATGGTCCCAACGCTGAGGCATGAAGCTGCGACAAGGAAGACAGGAAGTAACCGAATGGAGGACATACGCGGAATCAACGTCTACTGAAAAGTCAGGGTTAACATTACTACGGATTTCAATATTGACAGTATACTTGCACCGACGACCGCCCCCAAGACCCATCCCAAAAATAGATGTTCGGGTGCCAGGTCGCTTCTGATGCAAGGACTGTACCACGTGCTCCGAGACAATAATTGCCTCCGATCTTTGGTCGACCAGGGCATTTATGACAGCGTGCAGTCCGTTGACCGGGTTCCGCACGGTGATACGAGCAGTGGCGAGAAGGACATTTCTCGAAGACGGATCCGATGACGTTGCTGAATAGCATTCGTAAGATGCGCAGGGGTTCTGGTGTGTCGTTGGCTGCCTGCGCTGTTGAGATACGCTTTCCCTGTCTGCAGGTGCACTAGGAGTCGGCGCCACATGATGCGGCGGCTCCCCGGTCGGCGACTGGCTATGAGCCAAAACAGGGAAATGCAACAATGTGTGATGACGCTGCCCACAAACTTAACTCGTGCAGCGCGAAAGGGCATGTGCCTTACTTAGACAATTGATGCATAATTTAGCGCTGCTTATTATGTCCTTCCTCTGGTAGCAGTCTAAGGCCAAAAACGTTGAGCAACGACGTAGGATATGGTCGCCGCCGCAGTGGTAACAGGCGCCGCTAGGGCGCCTAGCGTGCTCCTGTGCACTGTGCACTCGCACTCGTTTGGGCGACTGCGGAGGATTGACGTTGTCCGTTGTGACGCGAGCTTGGGGGCTATAAGGTGATTGTAATCTTCTTCAAGCTTACAGTAGAATTTCTTCATTACATTGTCCGCACCCACAAAGTTGGTTCCATTGTCTCTGTCGAGGTGCTGAACCATCCCTCTCCATCCCTGGTGAACCTGTCCAGCGCCAGCAGAAAATGCTTCATGTTGAGGCCTGTCGCCGCTTCCAAATGCTAGCTCATATGTCGCCCCCTCACTCGCAGGATGCCTTCTGACAAGATCGGCGACAAGCTCAAGAGCTTGTGACGGTCCTCCTTTGGGGTGGCTGGGACAGTTCACCGGATACCAGCAGTTAGTTCAAACATTTAATTTGATGTCAGGCGTGGTTGTTGCAAAGAAGATTCCACCCAGAGTAAGACGCAGCTTGTTTTGGTTAAGAATAGAAGAGATCTTAGTTATTTTTTTCATATCTATGGTTACAGAGTTAATTCACAGGGATCGGTTGGTCGTTCCCGTG